AGACTACAAATATGTGCATTTATATGCAGAAAACTTAATAAACTTGAGATTAATTTTTAAGACAGCTTTTACTACAGTGCTTACACGCTGAGTTAAAAGAGTAAAGGCGCCTGAAAGTAGGCAAACCTATCGATTTTATATTTATTTGAATTCAAGGTGAAGAAACTGAAAAAATACTTAAAATATTGCATTCTTTAGATTTACCTTTAACTATCGAGGGCTGTTTTTTTTTTTTTTTTTTTTTTTTTTTTCCCCCTAAAAGACACCTAATTAAAACCAATGCCATCTTTATACAGCTTAGTTATAGTTTAATTTTTATTATTATTATTTATTTAGAACAGGTAGCAATAAAAGTAGTACTTCATATTTTGTTTTAAGTAACATTCCTGTTTATATTTTAAGCTATATTTCACCATTTTTATTTCAAACTATTAATTCATATTCTTAAAGTAAATGGCAAGCACATTTCCCACCCTGATATTGCTGCTACTGACAGTTTTTGCACCATTCCTTTTCTTGTTTGTCAACATTTTCAAAAGCCTTGTTACAAAGTAACATAAATGTCCCTACAAAGAGAACCATATAAAAGGAATGTTACTTAAAACATTAAATACTACTTTTAATCTTTTATGTCTTTAAATCATAATTACAAACAAATTTAAAAATATCTAAGTTTATCTCTCCAAAATACACACAGGAATAGATGATGCATATCATTTAATTTTGTTTTTTAAGGCCAAAGAGTCTCATACCAAACCATTAAAGAAACTGGTTTAACGCATAAAAAAAACCTCTAGGCATAGAGAAAGTAGATAAGCTACTGTGTAGATGAACTAAAGAGTGAAAAAAGGAAGCTTAACTGATAAATTTTATAATTCTGAAAGAGGTAAATGTCAACCCATGGTAACACCATCAGTCAATGCTCATGATTGCAAAAAATGTTCTAGTCACTGCAAATCACTTTCCAGCTTCTACATTTTGAAGAAACAAAAGCTGTTTTGCAGGGAGAGAGACTTAGTCTCTAGAGTCCTAATTAAGAATTATTTAACCATAGAAAAGTAACGAAAAATAGTGCTAGAAGTTCATGTAGAAACTAACCTCCATTCAAATCAATAGATTTGAGTTTAAGTCAATCTCAAAGGAAGCAAGAAAACGATTATTAGCAAGCTGAAAAGCAAGACCCCACAGTGGCATAAAAAGTAAATATTTACACTATGAAGGATCCCAAGGACCTAAAATGCTATTTAAGGCCCCTTAAATAGCATTTAAGACATAAGACTGGATCTTATGTCTATTCTAGGCAAGAAAGCTGCAAAATTTGTCTAAATCTAGATAGACCAACAGACATTTCTGCAAGGTAAGAAGACAATATGGAAAAAAGTTCATTTAAAAAACTGGCACAGCTCTTTCACATGTCCTGAAGGGTTCCCCTTAAGTGCAGGGTGCAAGCAATAAGCAAGAAAATAGAAAAAAAAGAACACTTAAAAGGAAAGAACTATGGCTTTTCAGGGACAGGATAGAAAATGAAGCTGAAGGAAAATGAAGGGATGTACAGACAGAACAGTTCTGTAGTGATAACTATCATTTGGAAGAAATGTGGGAGTCTTTACAATGAAGTTAAACATTGTCCAGTGGGTAAAAACAGTGGTTGCCTTATTTTCAAGGTGAGATCAGATGATTCCTGTAGTATTCTAGAAGTTTCACAGCAACTTCTATTAGTCCTTGTTTAGCAACTGAAAAACTAGATTCAAATCTTGAGTTTTTTTTCTCATTTTGTTGGGAGTTAAGTTGACAGTTTTAGTCAGATAGTGTTTTATTTTGGCTTTGTTTTCAAACCCTCATACTAAAGCAGGCAAAGATCTATTTCTCAAGATTTTTCCACATACTTTTCTGGGTTTAATTAATATTAGATGTATATTGAATTTTAATATCACTACAAACAAAAATGCTTGAGTACAAATAGAGTGGATTATTCCGATTATTACAAATTTTTAAAAATGACGTTATTTAATATATGCACCATGTGAACGCTTGGGGCTTCCTCTTTAAGTGTCATTTAGATTCAGACAATCAAACATGCATTATCTAAGTCAACATCTTTGAGGAAGCTTCTTTAAGCATTATCTGTGGCCCTAGAAAAGCATGTGTGGATTTCTGTGATGTTCTAAAGCGATAACATCTTCTGACGAGTACTGGCCAGTCACAGTATTAAAATCTTGGCCTAAAACGGGAGTTGAGTTGAACAAACTACAGCTGCTTTAGCACTATTGCTCCCTACCTGCTCTGAAAGCACAGCAGTTAGACATAGCACATGTTTCAAAATAACTACTACTTTTTTACTATTACACAAACTGTCCTTCCAGAGAGTTCATTCACTGCAGCAGGATGTTAATCATTCCATATGCTTGGCTGAAAACGAGCATGACAGTTTTTCCCTTTGTAGGTTAAGTCTTCCATGCCAGATGGCCATATGAAGCCCCCGAGATTACCTGTAAAGCTGCACAGAAAACTGAAATACAGGTTGGAGGAAAATATGCTCCCAGTGGTTTGTGCTACAAGGGAACCAATTCACCGAAATGACAAAACTTACCTATTCACATTTAAGTTTGTACACATCACTGATTGCCTATGCTGGGATATAAGCAACTGGGAAGGAAAATAAAAGCCTTCAGTAAAAAATAAACATCCAGAAACATGAAGAACAAGAATAACAACTTCCAGGATTTTTGCAGGTTTGTTTGTTTGTTTGTTTTTGGTTGGTTTTTTTTTGTGTTTTTTTTTTTTTTTTTTTTTTTTTTTGATAGGTACCTGTAAGAAGGACAGAGAACAGTCCAGAGTGACAAGTGAGAAAGATGGGGGAAAGCCACAGTGTTTGGTGTTCAGTGAGACCTAACTTCTCTCAACAGGAATCTGCTTGCACATAGAGAGTACAAATGCTACTCTGATATAGGTGTAATTAAATATTATTCCAGATCTTCAAAGAGAAAATCCAAGATACATTTGAGAACAAATTATTCCACTCCTGTTACAACTTTTTTTTTTTATAAGGAGTTCCCCTTAAGGTAAGCAAAACATTGAGAAAGCAGTATGTTATGTTGCTTTGGTGTCTTTGTTTTCAGAAAAAGAAGGTACAAGACATTTATGGAAACACCTTGGGAAGCAGAGAGGTACCTGGAGTGCCTTCTGCAAGTATTGTGAATGGAGATTTCCATTCCTCCTCACATCCCACAGGAGTGGACCCCATTCCACCCTTGACACCCACTCAAAACTTAAAGTTTGGGAACTTGTTTGTCAGTGTATTTGCTTAACTAGACAGCATGCTGCAACATGCATTTTAGGTGCACCGGATTGCAAACATTCTGAATTTACATTTTCTACCTTCCTCATTTATCACAACTGTTTCACCTTTTACATATAGCAAACTATAACACAGCTACTGAAAAATTTGCAGTACTCAAACCTGCATTGACACACTGGTTTTAACACACCACATTGAATTACTGATCATCTTCCTAACTTTACAAGTCAATCTTGAAACACCTGCAGTTTAGCTGGTGTATTTAACCACCTGCTTCCTTAACTACTGTAGTATCACTAGTTTGTGTAGAAGCGCACACATTACACCTTGTGCGTTTTGGTGCCTGACTACACACTTCATAAACATTATTTCATTAAATCTTCTTCAATCTTGGAAAAAAAAAAAAAAAAATCTGCATTTTATGGAAGTAACACTTTTGCTAGCATATCATATAATTAATTGGTTTTTCCTGCACTGAAGTTGCTTCCATTGTTTTTATGAAAACCCATAAACATGGCATTTTTTTGAGCATTCTAATACCAGGGAAGAGAACACGTATCAGTACAGCCATGCTTAAATCAAATGCCACAGTTGTCTTAATATTCTCCAGTTTAATTAGAAATATATGTATTTAAATATACTATCATGGAAGAAGGGTAATACACATTGAACAATCCCCTTTAACTTGATAATACAATACATTTAACAATAGATATAAATTGAAGGCAATAACATGCTACAACTTCTATAATTTTCAGGTGTTTCATTCTCAAAAAGCAGAGATGGTAATTTACAGCATGCCTTCAACCTTTTTTCCCCCCTGAGACTAACACAATTGCTACACAGACCTTGTCACACCACATTACAGTAAAAAAAAAAAAAAAAAAAATCACCACAATTCTGTAAAGGATCATATTGCAAAGAAATTAGGGAACATTAATGTGGTAAAGAGCATGAAGCATAAATAGCTTCAGCATTTTATATAAAACTAAGTACAACATTCAGCTTTTAAGATGATTTAATTGAACTATTACTTGCTGACTAAATGAGACTGTTTGACGTTCCTGGAGCATCAGTGCTCAGGAAGCAATATAACAGCTGCATTTCACAGTTTATCAAGAAAAAGAAAGTACTGATAACTCTCACTACTTCCCTGCTTTGATAGTTCCCTCCTATCTCTATGATTTGTCCTTGCCTATTGCATTAAGCCCTTGTTCCTCACTAAGACGCAATGAAATATAATCAGCTTAATCCAGATTATTTCCTGAGAATGACAGCAAGAAGAACAGAGGTATCACCAATACAGTTACCCTGAAAAGTTTAGGAGAGAAAAAGAATGGAAGACGAAAGACAACCCATCTGTGTAAGGCAAGGCTCACCACCTGACAAAACTGCAAAATAAAAGCACTAGTCTGAGTTATATATCAGAGTACCATGAACTAGAAAAATCACATTTTTAAAAGTTATTTCTGTTACAATTAAGAACGGCATTGATTTTTTTTTCTTGTCTTATAATATAGTGTAAAGACAGAAAAACAATGCGTGTTACTTTTTGTATTAAACCTTTATAAAAAGCATTTATGCTCCAAACTTCAGTATTGTGATAAATACTGTGGATGTAAGAGGATGTCAGATCGTTTTATTTCCTTGCCAAACACTCTGCAGATGAGAAAATGAAAGACTTGTTCCTACGATTACTTACCCATGAAGTTCAGATAGCTCTCTCCTCCAAGTGTATGAGTAATGAGACGAATCATTTTATGAAGCTGTATTCCACGATCAATAACTGGAGTAAGAGGCGAGAGCACACTCATGTTTGTGTACATCTCTGCATCCATCAGTCGAAATGCCAGCGTCTTATCCCCAACAAGCGCCTATAACCGTTCAAAAAAAAGGGAAGAAAACCCGTGGGTGTACTAGAAGTGTTTCTAAGACATTTTTCCAAAGCTGACACTTCATATTGTAAGAAGGGGACTCAGAAGACTGATGAGGATTCAAGGACATGGGCTTAGTGTATGCTATCCAGTCCCTGTTCATAAGGAAAACATCCTGCCACTGCCACTGATCCCCAGGTCACACAGACCCTAGCCTCTTGTTACTGCAACGCTGTGTTGTGTGATGTGTAATCACATGGAGGTGGTTATATATAATCCGCTGCCAAAAAGAGAACGCATGTAAACTGAGGCAGGGGCATCACTGAGATAAGTCTTGACTGTATGCCAGACCCAACCATTTGCTTTGCCCGTGCAACCCTCCAAGTGTTTACTGGGACTACTCACACTGACTAGAGTACAAGTATATGAGGAGTAAACTAATAGCTGTCTAAATCCTCTTGTAGTCCTGCATTTTGTCTGATGGGGCACAACTGCACAATTGCTTCTGAGAATGTTTTATGTACAGATATTAAATGTGAACTGTTAGAGTCAACTTAGTAACCCACAAGTGACCTACCCTTTTGGAATTTTGATCAAAAACAGTGAAAATAAGAAACTAAACATCTCAAATCCTGTGCTGTAGAAATAAAGGGCTATTAACAATGCTCCTGATTTGAAGATGCAGAGTGCATATGAAACATTCATTTATATGCAATCAAAAATGTGATTGTTTCCTGTGATTTCACAAGAGAGAGAAAAACAAACTAGTAATTCTGTCCAAAAACATTGACTGAATTGCTAACTTGGCTAGGGTATACCATTACTTGAGAGAGGCCACACAAATGCTGTGTAACAAGGATTATTCTCATTAGTATGCAGGTAGTTGAGGACATTTTGGGGCATTTATATCTAAATAGCTATTTTTGGTTCAATTAGCCTAATTCTCACTTTATATTCCAGCGTAAACTCTCACTCACTAGATTCAGAGAAACAGATGAATTGTGAACAGGTCTAGCTGAAATTGAGTTTTTCAACTAACAATATAATAGCATATATACAGATATATACATATAATACCCTCAAGTAAAAAATGTAGAAAATAAAATTTCCTATGCAACAATGGGAAGACTGAAGACTGCACGGAACACTCTTCTCTAGACTCAGAATATGTAATTTATTACAACCTATTAAAGGACACTAACCTTTCCATTAGAAGAGAAGGTAAATGTTCCTTATTCATGCTTTCTACACAGCCATGATTGTATAAACTTCCCTCTTCAGTGAACTTTTGTCTACCCTGAAGAGTTTTACCCTGAAGAGTCTTACTCTAAAGAGTCTTACTCAAATTTTCTTCTTAAGAAAACCAATCCATACCTGATATTATTCTTACTAATTCTCAGCATTTTTTCCAGTTATGCTGTATATCCTTCAAGATACAGGACCAAATCTGACTCCAAAATTCAAGATGCACACAAACCATAAATGACTACAGTAGCATACTGATTTTTCTCTTCGTTCTCCATTCTGATAATAATTCCAGAGCTGTAACTGCTTTTTTGACAGCTATTAGCATTAAGTTGCTATTTTTCACACACTCATAATCATGAGGCCTTGTGTTCTGACTGGTAATACTTGGCTTGTAGCCCACCATAACATGTAAGAAACTAGAATTGTTTCAACCCCTCATGTACATCACTTCAGGTATCTTCAAACTGAATTTTATCTACACTCCCATTTTGTTTCTCTGTCCTGCTTTTCATATATCATCCTCATGTACATCTACAATTGTCTTTTTTTTAAAAAAAAAAAAAAAAAAAAAAAAAAAAAAATATATAATAGGTCTTCTTCCCAAGTACGAGGTTCTAAAACAAAAACATATAGTGGTATGGAAAACAACTCAATTGATAAAATCCATCATGAAACAAAAGAAAAGCAACAGTAATGTTATATGACATGCTTTAGGATGAAGAATCAGCTTTTATGAAAGCAAATAATCACAGAATAATATGCACTTACAATACCTGAAGTTCTTTACCAGGATTGGGACTCTTCTCTCATGCCTTAAGTGAACATGGTATAACGATCTCTGAGATAAGAATGTAAATAGGTACACAAAACAAGGCTAATAAACTCAGAATTGTCTTTTAAAAATAAAATACAGGCCTTGTGTTGGGCCCTTCTGTTGATTTTTGTTATAAAAGGTATAAGAAATAGAATCTCAACCTCTACTATGTAGAGGAAAGAATTGAAGGTAGGTTACTCAAACCTTTTAACAAAAAAAAAAAAAAAACAAAACAAAACAAACAACATATTCCAGTAGGTTTCTAATTTTAAAATTCTCAACTAATGTGTTTTCTGATTCTTCAGAAACAAACATTACAAAGATTGTGGGAGACGAGTGTTATCCAAACTCATCATTAATTTTCCATTCTTCCATATACAAAACCACCGCAATTGCTGTATTTTGAACCAAAGAAGATGTTTCTTCTCCAAAAAGATTGCAGACATTTTCTTGAAAGAAATACAACAGTTGCAAACACTGATTCAGTGAACAAATCTGCTAAATTGTAATTTTTTTTTGCTTATGATAAATAGTGTTCCAGCTTACTTTGTGTAAACCAGATTTTCAAAAGTATGGACTATATGCCTTCCTAAATCCTATGACAGGCACAGAAAAAAAGAACCTAAGAGTAATTTCTAAAAAGCAAAACAATACTGACAAATAGCACCCACCCATTCCACTCAGGATTCCTTTATAATGGGCTTACATTGCACCACAGGATGTCTAGATTGCACATTAGCAAGAATTTCTTCACTAAAAGAGTAGTGAGGCACTGTAACAGCCTGTCCATAGAGGTGGTAGAATCACCATCCCTGGAGGTGTTGAAAAAATATGTAGATGTGGCACTTTGGGACATGATTTAGTCATCATGGTAGTGTTGTGTTAACTTGACAATCTTAGAGGTCTTTTCCAAACTCAATGATTGTATGATTAAAAAGAAGGATCAGAACAAAACAAACAAACACACACACACAACATGAAAACCCAACTAAAAAGCAGTAGTCCAGATCTACCTCTCTCTGAAATTGTTGCTTATCTTTTCCAGCTTTTCCCTCAGTTCTGAAAAACAAAACCCACCGAACCACTAAGCCTTATCTTTTCCCTGCTTATATACATAACAAACAGATAAAATACCTGGTCATGACTCTCTGCATATGCAATGTATTTTTCTTCATACCGTCTGTTTGTTAACGTATGCACAATATTGCCCATATTCCATTCTTCATCTTTCAGCTCCTTAATTATCTGCAGAAATAAAGGCAAGATCATTGAAAAGTTATTGCTGATTTAACTAAAGGAACATTATTACCACTTTTCTTCTTTAGCTTGGCACAGAAACTTCTGGTGGACTATGAACTTCTCTTCCCAAATTTTGAAGCAATGAGATTTCTTGGACAATCCAAAGAGATTTTTTTTTGTTTGCTTCCCACTACATAAATGTAAATAGAACATTTTCTTGCTCCTGTACTTCCATGTATAAGCATAGACAACAGGACTTGCCATATATTCTATGAAACCTCTGATACAGCAGGCAATGTGATTGATAGGAGCTTCACAAAAGCGCTGCACCAAAAACTGAGAAGAAATACATGGACACATGTCTACCTGCACATGGTATTGAAAGAAGTCCTGTATTTCAAGCAACCCTGGCATAGGGCAGCTTCCAACTACAGCCTGCCTGCTGGGCTGTGTGGCGGAGGTGGGTGGCCGCCAGAGGGCGCTGTGCCACGGCCAGGAAGCACACGGGAACGCCACAAGGGCGCCGAGCGCAGGGACCCGCCTGCTCCCCCGGGCTCTGAATTCCCAGCCACTCCAAACCAGAGTTCCAGTGTTAAAGCTTTGTGGTTTTATGCCATGACAGCTGCTGATTTTCAGTAATTTAATCACATCAGTAGAAATTTTCTGCTTCATATAATACTATTTCCTCCTCCTTCCAAATGTAGGCCAAATTTCAGTATTAGTCCTTTCTTTTTTCTATAGTACTTTATAGACCCCCATTGATCACTACAACTTAAATACAAATATGCAAATACATAGACATAAAAATAAAAGTGCTAAAAAGGCAATAACATTGAGATGGCTGATACAATACTGTAAAATTTAATGTTCTGATTGTAACTGTCCATGTACTCCTAAATAGCCTTTTTTTTTTTTTACTCCATGAATTGTGGTTCTGAACTCAGGTTCCTGTGCAGCATCATATTATGTATTACATCTATTTTTAATTTGAACTAATACAGCCACTGTTATGACAAACAGCTTATCTTACTTTTACAGATTGCTTAGAATTATTTCATGGAACCCTGGAGATCCTTCAGGTTTAAAACTGACTTCATGATGTGGCTCAGAAAACTTGCTATTAACAGGTAGATATTTAAAAGCTGAAGACAAATAAGAACAAGTAGTCTTGGACGGTTTGATAACAGCTGGTAGACTGTTCCTAAACTTCTCTCTTGCAATCATTTCAGCTTTATTTTTGACTTAAGAAATGTGGTAACCAACTATGTGCATCACTTCTTTCTCTAACGCACAGTACTGTTTTGGTTGCTTACTGGATTCCTTATCTAGAAGCCACCTGTCTGCATCACCCTTTCCTCCACAAACAACACATTTCCTGGAGTCTGCTGGCAAACAGCCTAGACTATCATAGCTGAATTTGCCTCCAACATCTATCTCACCAGTGTTCCAAACGTCCACACGTGCTGTCCCATGTTAAGTACATGGTTAGGCTGAAAGATTTATTTTTCCTCTTGTTGGAGGAGGAGCTGAGCTGTTTAAAATAAGTATGCAATATCAAAGATGGCTAAATTAGATTATCCATCTTTTGCCCTTGTAAAATTCTACAGACTGGTGTTTTGGTGTTTTGTTTTGGTTTTGTTTTTGGTTTTTTTTTTTTTTTTTTTTTTTTCCCTTTGTAATATGAACTTGCCCACTCACATTTTGCCTACCTAGACAATCCTCATCTTTGCCTGTCCTAAAGTGCAAAAAGGAAGTTGAAGGTGTAAGTTCCAAAAAAGCCATCATAACCAAGTGCTTCTTGTTACAACAAAAATGAGCCCTTGTTGCTTTCCCAGATCTAAATTACACAATCCAACGTTTAGTGATGCTGTCTCTATTGGAAAAGCTGGCAAGTTTGTCTTCTGGAAAGAGGTTTGAATTCTGGTTTTCAGTTGGTCCTCCAGCTCCCAGTTACAAAAGTGAAAGATGCTGAAGATAATTTGTGTTTTATTTTAGGCCACTTGCTGTATTTATTGAAGTATTAATGCTCATATAAGACATGTATTGTTTTCAGATCATCATGACAGCCTGAGGGATTTGGATGCAATCATTTAACTGAAAAACATTCTCCAAAACATCAGTAGAAGCTTTTTGAGATCATCTACTGTTCTATTCCTTTTCTTGTGATTCTTTGTATTAAGGAAAAGGTGATTTAAATCCTTATTGTCAGTGCTTATTAATATGTTATTGTTCTTGAAGAGTGTTTACAAGTTTTTATTACTTTTTTGTAGCCCTACTCTACAAGTTGCTGGCATTTGTATAATTCACTTACGTTTACTTTGGTTAGACTTTCAGTTCTGTGGTTGAATGCCAGTTACCAAGCCCAATTTCAGGAGAGTCCATTGCATGTTTTCACAGTGGTTTTTTTTTTTAAATATGGATATCAGTATGGTTAACTTATCAACCTGCTCACATTCAATATAGACGACACACTGTATAGGTGATGCAAGATACAGGTTATTCCAAACCAAATGAATCTATGCATATTGTATGAAGAGAACAAGTATCAGCCAGAATACAAAGAATAGCCACTGAACCTTCCCATCTTCTGAAACCTACATGATATCTGACAGCTCTCATTTTAGCCACTAACACCTGTGCTAAAGCCTGTTGGAAGTGATTCTAATAGACATTAACAGAAGAAAGAGCAAAATCTGTCAGTAGGACTCAGAAGTGTTGCTGTGTATGCCCAGATAAACAAATATCCCACTTTGAAAAGCAGTATATACTTTCAAAAATTCTCACCTGTATCCACTTATCTGGAATAGCCATGGCTAGTCGATAATCAAAACCCCCTCCTCCTTCTGCAACAGGACGACAAAGAGCTGGCATTCCAGAAACATCCTTAAACAAAAAAACAACAACATAGTTTTCATAGCATCGAAATTATTGGTTCAGACTTTCTACCATAAAGAAATCCTTCTATACAAACATTCTGTAAACTACAGAGAGCCTCAGATTGACCTGGATAAGGGAGAAAAAAAAATACTAAATAAAATCAGTGAGAGATGACTACATCCAGATTTGCTGGTTGAACACAACAGTTACAGGGAAAAGCATTATGACTTTTCTCATAGAATACTCTACTACAAAATATTTTAATAGAATAGATATTTGAGGGGGAAGAGACCTCAGCAGATGCAGAATTGGAAATAATTAGCTCCCCTGAGCTGCAAGTAATCAATAGAAAGCAGAAAGTAGTCAACAAAAGACAAATTAAACCTTCAATTTGTTTATTGATATTTTGCATAAAGAATGGCATTAAAATAAAAGGCTGAATATAAAGTACATTAATGAGGAAAAATACAATCTCTATTTTTTTTCCCAAATGCATAAAACTAGAACTATCGATCTATCTAGCCCTGGAAAGTGACATGCTCTTACTGCATAATTTTTGAGTTTCATATTGATGGAGGCTGATCATTCTTAAATTTGTTCTTAAAATATTTATTTCACCATTTTATTAGGCAATTATGTCACATAGCATTCTTTTTCTAAAGTTAGTTTATCTGTACAGAAAATTCAAATCTTCAATAACTGCAAAATATCTATCATCAATACTCAATTTTATTAACTTATGTCAGTTAGAAGCCATTCCACCACAATGGTTATAGATTAACACACACCTCTTGTATCCACATAAGAATTTATGGAATTAAATTCTGATTAGAACCAGGGTTAAATCCGGAAGATCATTCTGGATTTCTGGATTCAATTCAGTTTTCAACCCAGTTGCTACTTTAGACTACTGAAAAGGATTTTTCTCTTGAAGTTATACATAAATACACACACATCCCCCCATAACACCATAAGTGAGGAGCCCAACCACATCATCAGCTCACTGATGGCACCCTGTGGGGTGGAAGGCAGGGCTGCCACCCAGAGGGACCTTCACTGGCTGGAGGAACTGATCAGCAGTGAGCTCAGGAAGTTCAGCGAGGGCCTGTGTCAAGTCCTGCCCCTGGGATGGACTAATCCCTGCATCCACACAGGCTGGGGGAGCAGCTCTGCTGGGAAGGCCTTGGGGCTCTGGGCCAGCAGCAAGCTAAGCAGGAGCCAGCAGCCTGCCCTGGCAGCAGAGACAGCCAGCAGCATCCTGGGCTGCATGAACAGCAAAGCCAGGAGATGAACGGAGGGGATTATCCTTCTTTACTTAGCAGTCATTAGACCACACAGAAAACTGTATCCACATTCCACATACTGTACATACCAAATAATGAAGTGGAAATTCTTTCCAAACTTTCACATATTTTAAAAGGAAGTTCAATAGCTCTCCTAAACCAGTCAAAAAGGATAAAAACAGACTAATGGTCTCCAAGTTATGCAGAACAACATGAGCCGAAACAAAAGCCTTTCTCTGATGCTATGACGCCTACCTGGACAAGGCCTGACTCTGAGATTTAAGTAGCTCTCACCTACTTTCTTAAAAATTTTGAAGGCTAGATTTTTGGGAAGTAAAATTCGAGATTTAATACTACTTACATCTATCTAACTCTACAGACTTTACCTTAACACTAAAAAAAAAAAAAAAAAAGAAAATCAGTGTTAGCTTTTTCTGTATATTTTCCACTAAATGAAAACAGCCAATGCCTACGCATTTGTTCAAACCTTCATTTTGAGGTGAGCTGCATATTAAAACAGAAATCAGAGCAATAGGGTTTTGCCTGTTTGTTTTTATATCAGGCATGATGTAATTTTACTTCACATTTTTTCTTTTCATTATACAAAGCTTTAATCACAGCTTTATACAGAAGGTCAAAATTAAAAATATGAGCATATAGTTAGTAATACCTACAAGCTTAGAGATTACTGAAACAGTGAATGTACACAGTATTAAAAAGCCTTAAAAGTTAGCAGCTATATAATTACAGAATATATTATAGTTAGTTATGGCTAGATAATAATTTTCTCACATGGCACTCATTCTATCATCACTACAGGCAAACAGACAATCTTCACTGCCTTTTGTAGTTTTCAGTATTGTCAACAGTTTTGCCTTCTGAAACTGTCCTTTAACCCTGCAGCACATTGATCAACTCTATATTTTGCCTAGGGAATCCCAAGGCAGCAAAATGGTGTATTGACATGTAAGGAGTTTTCAACTCAGGCAAGACAAACTGAAGACATACCTTTTTTTTTTTTTTTTTTAAGAAAAAGAATTCTTAGGCTAGGTAATACAAGCAAGACTGAACTCAGAATTTCATTCACAAGAATGCCCAGGACTACCTAGAAAATTAACAAGTTTGACTTCAACAGGCCTACAGCTCAATGAAACCACCTTGTTTACTAGTAATTGCTCACCAGATGCTGGTTTTGATAGCTTGTCATTACGCTACTATCAGTGGTTGTATATAATATTAAAACTTTACCATAAGTAAGAACTGAAGTTAAGCAGTATTTTATCTTCTCAAGATCAATACAGAACTCTTATGCAATACAAAAAGGTTTTATTAGAAATCTGTATAGTTCCTAATGATATTAGAGGCAACCTTTTCTTTTAAACAAAAAGAATTATTTAAACATAGTAACAGAAAAATCCTCATTCTTTACATGCTTTTTTAGATAAAGTGAAAATATCAGTGGAAAATGCACCTATTCATAGAACTTTAATGCACTGGGGTTTTGCCCTATTAAAAATTCCATGTGCCAACACAAACTTTTTTTGATTGAAAAATATTGTTCTCAACCAACTCAAGTAATATAGTTAGGGTTAGGGTTACTGTATGTACGTCCTCACAAATCTGGAAAAACTTACTAAATCTTAAATTTAAATTAGCGTACGCACTCAACATTTATAAACTCAACACATTTATTTTGAAAGAGAATTGTTGTTTATATCGATATAATTCAAATTATACAAAAATCATACTATGGCTGCTAATCTTTTGTACCATGGATCACTAGTGACAAACAGCAACCATGCAAAAGCAACAAACTAATACAAACAAATCTCATTACAAGTTCAAGGAGATGGAAGGAGAAAAAGAAATCCACACATTAATGACCCATTAATGCAGAGAAAATTCTCAAGGTGCATATTCCAGTCATTTTTCCCCACAAAGCAAAGTCTGTCCACTAATTAATATTTCTTCCTTCCTGTCACTCTTTGAGTACCGAAAGTGGTATTTGATAATTAACAGGAAATTCACATCCCACACCAAACTAATTAATATTAACGTTATTGAGGACAGTAAATTTTGTTCTTACCTCTGCTATGGTTATGCATTCCGGATGCAAAAATTTTATCATGTGGTTGGCCAGCATTAGATAACACAAAGCATCTTCATCCACATGGAGACCAAAATATTCATTGTAATCTCCACTGAATCCTGTGCCTAATAAGGTAAGAAGTTTTAAATGCTACAGTTGTAAAAAAAAAGAAAACACATACACAAAACCCAAACAGACTTTGCAACAAGCAGTTTTATAAGCACCAAATTTATTCAAAATTTCAGATCTATCCATACAGCAGCACAATAAGATATTAATAAATCCAGAATTTTTGGAGCATTCAGTGAACTTCTACGACACTATTTCCACAGCAACAGAGCTGCAACAGGACTGCACAGATTAGAGTTGGTTAAATTACTTACCAATCCCATGATGATGGTACAGCATAGATGTAACACCGTCAAATCTGAAGCCATCAAAGCGATACTCTTGAATCCACATTCTCAGATTAGACAAAAGGAATCTCAAAACTTCCCAGCTGAAATAACATCAATATGTTTTATAAACTTTAGAAACCTTAGGATCAGCTAGAGTTCCTTATACCATGCTCTCCACTTGCATATATAGTATTTGTACTAGACATTTTACTGTTTTAAAGGCTTCTTCCCTGTTTTCATTAGCCTTTTTTCTAAAAAGTTTGGTCTTCCTTAAATCTTTGCCTTTTACCACACAAAATTTTAAGATTGCAGATAGTGGTTGAGGAAAAATTGTCAACTATCTATTCAGACACCTAAATATGTTAGTGTTTGAACACATACTATGCTAACACCAATACTTGGCACTGTACTTTACCTTCTTAAATGTGTTATATAGTGTGGGGAAAAAAAGATCTTAGAGAAATGGAAACAAAATTATAATAGGTAAGATTTCATCCCCAGAATTTTATGGATTTACAGCAAATTTCTAAGCATAAGAAAAGTTGAAAAGCTGTTGTCCTCCACCTCCCAACCCCCAAGTATTTACAAATCACAGATCACCAGTAGATTACTAAATCACCTACTGCATTCCAAATTTACACATTTAAAGAGTAAAGCAACTTATGGAAGCTGAGGAGATACTTTTTGAAATTCAGTACAGCAGGA